TGATTTAATTCCCACCCCTGTGTTACCAAGAGGCAATGGGCAGGACTTGATGGTGTTCATGAATATCCACTTCATTCACACTTCCAACTGTTTTTTAAATCCTGAGAAGGGCTTACAAAGCTTTGGATTTGAAATGTCTTTTTCTGAGGAAGGGTAGGGGTTCCATTTTATTAGCTGCACCTGCCCAATTCATTCACCTCTTGGCAATTTCTTATAAATCCTCATTCCCACCCCCCAGCCAAATCAAAAATAGCAAATCTTTTCTATTTCTGCTAAAGAATAACTAACGTCCTTTCCTTGGAGATGGTTCAGTTGTACTGTTCTCAGGCCAAAAGTGAGATTTTATTTTTTCCCAAGGGGAAAATTTAGCAGAAGTCATTCATTTTGTAAGCAACAGTGAAGATATACTTTCTTGTTCTTGTGACCTGATTCCCCCCGCCCCCCCATGCCAGTGGTTCTCAAACTTTAGTAACCCAAGGACTCCCATTTTGATTTAAAATTTTGCCTTGGCCCCCCAAGCCTCCCTCTCAGCCCCAGGCCCTGTCCCCTCTCCCCCCTTCCTCCAAAGCCCCACCCTTGCCCCACCTTTTCCTGCCCCCCCCACCCCAGCCCCTCCTCTTCCTCGCCTCTTTCCGCTCCCTGGCGTACAGGAAGCGCTGAGAGGGAGAGAGGGAGGGGGAGGAGTTGATCATCAGAGCCCGCAAACCCCCTAGAGTACCATCACAGACCCCCAGGGGTTCGCAGACCCCAGTTTGAGAACTACTGCTCGATGCAGATAATTCTGATCTTTCACAGTTCAAGTTGACATAGATATATATAGTCCTCCTTGAACTCCAGTGCTTCTGCTTGGTTAGAGATATATGACTTTGCATTTGTCCATATGACTGTCAGAAAATTCCAGTAGCAGGAGAAATAGTAAAAATCTGCCATTAAGATGCATATTTATATAGCACATGAATACACAGCTATGTTTTTGTGTAGGTCATGTATTTACGGTCTTCAATAACAATAAAGATGTACCAACTGGCCTTTGATTGCTTGTTAACGACCAATTGTACCTTAGGCCCTCATTTTCAGAGTACTGAGTATGCACAACTTCAGCTGAAATTAGTAGGATCAGCCAAAATTCAACACCTCTGAAAATCACACCCGTCATTTTCCTGGGTTATTTTGATAGGCCAAGGCTGGTGGATACTGGTAAGTTCTAAGCTGCATGATTTGAGATGGATATACCAAGTGCACATGGGTAGAAGAATGCACTGTTCAGAGACTGTTGGGAGGCACAAGCTGGCCCACTTTTTCTTCTCTTTCCCTTTAAAAAACAAAACCCAAAAATTATATACAAAAATTATTACTACAACATTAAGGTTGAAATCTGAAGTGTTAAAATCAGTCAGGAAATGCCAAAGTTAATATACCAATGATAGTGCTAATTCAGCTAAATTGCAGAGCTGTAGTGTGTGCTAGTTCTGTTTTTCTTTGTAATTGTGTAGCTTCTTACATTACTGTGTATAATAACTATTAAGAGCCATCCACAAGAGATACAGGATGTGCAACACTCCAGATGTTCCTACCTCTGCTGTTGGAATCCTAACTTTTGCATTTCTAGACATTGACTTTTTCAGTGCACCCTTCATGTAATGTTAAATTACTTTCTTTAGAAATTATTCTGGTTCTATTGGATCTATTTTCTCTTTCCACTGTTTACTCTTCTTCACAAGGGATGTTTCTTAAGAATTCACCTGCTGCTTATTTCCTACCTGAAGTATCATCTTGTGACACTGGCCATGTCCATGGCAACCAATTATGTTGTCATCTGCAGAGATTAAAGTCTGCCAGTTTCCATGGGCACTTCATGCAAGTCATGAAAAGTATGAATTGCTAGTTTACTTCCCCCATTTACTTAGAAATGGGATAGGCAAATGGAAAGAATGCAAAAGACAGATAGCTTGTACCTGTTAAAGGTAAACTACTTCCACTTCCTGGCACAAAAGACAAAGGGGTTATTAAGCTTGTTGTGACGTGTTTGATAAAATCTCTTGTAAATGTCTCTGTTCTTGATGTTATGCTTAATTTTCTGACGAGAACAAATGATGGAAGACACAAGAGGAAGTCATTGATGCTATAATGCAATTTTCTATTCCCCAGCCAACTTACTTAGAATAATTACTTTTGTTGCAATATAACTCATTGTGGTAAGTTATAAATCCTCCCACTTAAAGAAAAAATAACTCTTTCTTCTTTTCCCCCAGCATTTTTCTTCCTTTCTGAATTAAGATATCATATAAAAATGGTAAGTGGACTCACTCATTAGCTTAAATCAAATCTACAATTTTAACTTGTGTTCAGGATTCTAACTTATCCTTAAGTGCCTAACAAACTAATTTAGCTAGCATGGGAATGGGTAATACAAGATTGCTATATCCCTGTGTTTTCAGGGAAATCTCTGCAGAGCTTCAGTTTATGAGTATTTTATCTTCCAGTTTGCAAATACCAAAGGATCTCAAACTAGGTTACTTCCAGGTTTGTTAAATGCCATACTTCTAAGAGGCTAGAGTTTTGGCTTGAATGCTATCTGTTTTTAGCATTCAGCTCAACAGCAAAAAGAAGTGGCTCCACAGGCCTCCTGCTGCTTCTCCAAACTCAGGCCTGAAGTGTCATCTTTCTCACATTATCCATGTCTTAGGCAGATGTGAAACAATGAAAGATAACTTGAGAACTTTGCTTGAAGCATTTTCAAAATGAAGGAAGAAGTGAGGGAAAGAAAGCTCCCTCTTACCTCTTGCTCTCAAGGGACCCTCCCATTCTCTTAAGTAGAGAAATGGAGTTTTCTAGATTAGAAGAATATCTAATGGAGAAAATGCCTGGAGGACTGTCTGTAGCCCAAGAGTTTGATTTAGTGCTGACAGCTGCTCTTCTCTTCAACCACAGGACTGCAGCAGCAGCAACAGGAGGAAAAGCTGAGCCTGCAGCTATCTTTATAGACTCTCACTGAGGCATCTCAGGCTATGGACAGAAAGCGGGATGAGAGAACTGTCTTTCGGAGACTGTTTATCTCTAACAGTTAATAGGGACACAATACTTAAAAATCAAGGTGAGCCATTTCAAGCAAGGAGCAGGCGATGGATATGAACCAGACAGTGAAGTTATTAGCCAGCAGGGGGAGATATTGGTCCATATTTGAATGCCGTAACTAGCATGTCTCAGTAATTTAGCGGGGAAAAACGTAATACAGGAACCCTAGGGCAGTATTATTGGTATTGAAACACAGATAAAGATCAAAGTTGTACAAGAGTAACTGATGAAAACAACATATTACAAAAATAATCCCTTTTTTGTAACGGAAGAAAAAACAAATTTATAAAATCCAAACCCAAATCCTAGGGCTCCGAGTATCCTAATGTCCTTGAAATCATTCAAATACCACCCCAAAGTCAGAGAAAATCCAATCAAACGGAAAACCAAACAATTTTAATGCTCAAAACTCACAACCTCTTTGTAAAAACAGCAACAAACTGTCTGGCAAAACAAGAGTGACCGAGGCTCAGGCAAACCCAGAAGTCATTAGATAGATAGCAGGTAATCCACCCCAGTTAGCACTCTAGCAGATTAATTTTAATCGGGGTTTTATAATTATAATCCCAATGAAATAATGCGCGCACACACTGATTTATTTTCCCTTTTAAAAGCAGATTATCTTGGACACGTTAGTGTTATGGAAAGTAAGAAAGATGTTGCGTAGGGAAACAGCTGAACAATTTGCGGGGTTCTAGAACTTGTTTTGGATTTATTTCATTTGTGTTGAACAGTGTGATTGTGTTTTATGGGAAGACGTCTACTACACGTGATTAAGCGGAGGGGGGGGGGGAGGTTTAACGTTTGAGACCCTGTGGATAAAATGCTGTATTTAATTTTATACTAGTAGAGAAGATGCAGAAAAGTCACTGAATTATTCCCAGTGTGTAGTGAGGGGAGGAGGGAGAATTGAAAGAATAACCCCACTCTGCCTGCCCCGTGAAAGAAACGGCTGGATGTTATAGAAGCGTGAGAGCTGCTGAGTAAAGAAGGGGCGAGCGAACCCCTCTGCAGTTTCTTCCATCCGGCTCTACGAAGAGCAGTACTACTTACAACGCCTCTGAAGCGCTCTGCAGATCCTTATCGAGTGGCTCAGAGACAGAGCGGCTTGTAAATCAGATAAGGAGAGGGGGACATTTCCTTCTGCAAACAGGGCTCGCCCCCCGAGCCCCACTCTCAGTCCGCTCCTCTCCTTTAACCAAACAGGGAGAGTCTTTTGCAATTCATGAAAGTGAAGTGAGCCCTCTTCCCCGGCCTCCTCAGAGCTGCAGGGGGTGCGAGCATTTCGGGCCAGAGCTTTACGTTATCTGGGTGCCCCCAGCCTCTGTACCCGGGGCGGCTTCTCCTTTTCACACCCGTGTTGTCCCCACACACTTCGCTTTGCAAGGGGGAGCGCCCGAGCCAGGAGCTGGAACCAGAATTCCTCGTGAAGCGCAGCAGCTGCCTACCCCCAATTATTGCCAGGGGTCTTGGCTCAACCAGTCTCCAGAGCAGGGAGAGTCTCGGCATAGGAGAAGGGCCCTAGTAGAGCCCTGCACAGGGAGCCCAACGCTGCAAAGGAAACAGCTCCCCAGAGCAGCTGATTTACCCCCCCATGTAACCCAGTGCATTCCTCACAACCCTGCCTACTTCACTACAGCCGCGCATCACTGCTCTACCCTCTTCCCTCACATGCATCAACCCCAGCTCTGCGCGCCAGCAGCCGTGTGTACACACACACCATCGGTCACTTCACACACTCGCTCTATGGAGCAGACATTCTAGTGCCTCAGACTAGCAAACCCACGCGCCGCTGCAGCTGCACCTCCCTTTAAGAGGCCGGGCTGCCCCGCCCCTCTCAGCCTGAGAGGCGGAGTGAGAGGCGAAGGCCCCACTATCCCGCTTCGCTATTGGTCGGCGAGGTGGGGCTGGCCTCGCTGGTGCCTGCGCTGGGGAGTACAGAGCGTGGCAGGGCGGGCGGTGGCGCTGTGCAAGTTGGGCAGCTGGAGGGGAAACGCTAAGCCGCCGGGACGGGACGGGCTGAACCCGTGGAGTTACAGTGTGGAGCCAGGAGTGTATGGGCGCGCTGAGCCCGGCGGGACCGGAGAGCGGAGCCGGGAGACCCGCGGAGAGCTGGACTCCAGCCGACGGGGCCCCAAGGAGCTAATCCGGGGCGAGGCGCGGGGAGCCCCGGCTCGGAGGGACTAGTGCGCGGGGGAGAGGGGCGGATTTCTCCGCGGGACCAGCCCGTGCAGCAGTGCCCGTCTGGGGGAGCCGTAGCAGTTGCGCGGGGGGTCCTGGATGCGGGCGGAGTGAGCCCTGCTGCCGGGGGACTCCAGCCACAGGGGATGGGAGCGTGAAACCGGCTGAGAACCAGGGCAGCGGCCGGCGGGATTTACAGCACCGGGAGGATTAGCGGCTCCCCGGCCCCGGCGCCCCCGGGCGAGGGGGAAGATGGCCCTGCCGGAGGGGCGCCCCAGTCTCTGCAAGTGGCTCCTGGGCGTCCTGCTTGCCATGTGCCGGCTCGCGGCGCCGCTGGCCAAGAACCTGGAGCCGGTGTCCTGGAGCTCGGCCAACGCCAAGTACGTGTCGTACCCTCGGGTCCCCCATCTCCGCCGCGGGCGTCTCCCCTTTCATTTTAGCGGGGGCCGGTTCTCCGGGGCGGGGGCATGGCAGCGTGGTCTGGGCGCCCCTGCGTGGCGCAGGAGCTGGGGTCCAGGGCGAGGCAATCCCTTGGCAACTCACGGCAGTCCAGGGCCATTCTGAGCCGGCTAAACTCGCCCAGAGTGTGCGGTGCCCGCTCCTGCCCTGGTGCACTGCCCCGGGCGTTGGGCGCGGATCGAGCTGGGCTCGGCTGCTCCGGGTGGCAGATCAAGCTGTCATGTTCCTGCGGGTCGCCGTGCAGCCTCTCCTCCTTCCCCGTCCCTTTGAAGTGCCCGGTGAACGCGTCTGGAGTCTCCGCTGCATCTGCTGGGGCAGCTCTTGGGAAGAGAGAGAAATTACAGAAGTTTAACGTGGTCCCGGTGCTTAAATCGGGCCCGTTGGGCTGTAACGTGGTTCTGAGTTCAGCGTTGCTCCCGCGGACTTTGCCTCACCATGGCTGATCGTGCCTAAAGGGCCGGCCCCATTGTGTCTGATTTCTTCTTTCCCCCAAATACACAGTTCTGCCTAGATCCAGCGTTTAGAGAGGGGGGAAGATGACATGCACCAGGTTTTTAAATAGACTAAAATGAATATTTTATTAGCTTTTTTAGCTCTGGATAATCTAGGGTTTCATCTCTTCCACAGAAACCCATTTAGGAAACTGGCAAGGCATCCCACTGGGGACTCCATAGGTAACACACACACGCAGATGGACATAAATGATTTATAGGGCGAGAGCCCGAAGTGATCACTGATGAAGCATTCTCTCTCTCTCTTAGATGAAATTAACCACGTATATTTTTACTTTGATTCTCCCTTACCCCCTCTATTAGGCTATCTGACTTAATAAAGCTAAATATATTCACTTAATCTTACCGTCCTAATAATGCATTTACTTTTCTAATCAATCGTAACCTGGGGGAGATGCCCCCTGACTATGCCCTCAAAGAAGAAGGGTGGAAAGACTACTGATATGCTCTTGCCTCTTAGAGCAATACCATAGGTCCCTTATTTAGGGACAATGGCAATATGAAATGAGCAAGTAAAATGTATCAGTAAAAGAAGATTTTCTTATTTATCTAATTTGATTTTTCAGTTCATGCTGGTGGGACAGTTAATACAGTGGGAGAAGAACATCCCCCCCTGCCTCCTTGAATGGTTCAAGAAGTACAACATTAGAGTCCCATCTGTTTCTTTTAGGCCAGTCTGTGTTCAGTCCCAAGCTCTAGACATTACTTTTCTACAGGAGAATATTCCAGTTTTTGGATGTGCCCAATTAAAGTGGTGTAGAAATATTGTATTTTTAAATCTTGTGTCTCACTTAATTGCTTTTGTTCAAATATTTTTTGTGGGAGGTGAGAGCGCCTTTTTTCTTTCATAAAGATTCCCTGGCTGCATTTAAAACATTGCCCAAATTGTTCCTTCATTTTGCAATCTTGTGACCACACTTTTACAAGATTCTCTTATCCCCCCCCCCCCCCGTTTTCTCAGGGAAAATCGTTGTTGGCGGTGGGTTAAATTTCTTTTTAATTGTCATGCAGACTTTTCTCCAGATCTTTGAACCTTTAAGTGCATTAGAATATTTCTGAATAGAACGGACAAAATCAAATTTTAATGGCCCATGAGGGATTTCAAGTTGAATTGGGATTCCAAATTTTAGTGCCCCTCTTGTGCCAGTTACTTGTAAAATGTAATAGCTATATTTGGATATTGGGTTGGTGGGTTTTTTTTTCTGCTTGTTAAAAATAGGTTACCGAGAATCTTACTACTTAAGCTGTAGATATTGGTCTGGAATTGCCAGCAGATGGCTTTCAATTCACATGCTTTGTGCAAACTTGCGCTAGAGGCAAAAGAACTGGAGGTTAATATATCAAAACCTCATCACATCTCTGTCAGTTTTATGCCAAAACGATGTTCCCTTTGCACAAAAAATTGGGTGAGAACTTTGTCTTTTTTTAAATGTGTGAACTTACAACTTTCTGGCTGCTTTTGCAGATACAGATGAGATCTAGGAATGTTTCAAGTTATTTGCAGTCTTAACAAGACTTCAGTTTTATTGCAAACAGGATTTCTGTTGATATCTTTATTAGATCATCTAAAAGTAATCTATGCTTTTTACCCATGGCTTTAGAACTGCACAGATTGCCTTTCCCTTGTGCTAGGTTCAGATTGACTCTAGGCCCACTCTCCATTTTTTTTCTTCCTCCCCTACTGTGCTAGTCTGTAAAGGATTTTTTAATAAATTTTGACTAATGGGCAAATATTTAAAAACTAGCCCTGGTTTCTATCATTTACCTGAACTCTGCAAGCTGGAGCCAGGGAGACCACTCTGCCTGCAATTTACATTCCCATTGACTACAGGAGCCAGCATCCAGAGATATCAATTGGCTCCACGAGAGAAGATTGTAAACTTCGGTGCCAGCCTTTATTTAATAATGCCTCTGGCTTGCACCTAGTATAAATGGTAAACACATTACACCTAGTTGTAGAAATTTTACTCTTTGTATATACTTTAATAAAATACCAGATATGCTCATCTGCCTGCTTCTTTGGAGCAGATCTTCAAATTGTCCTTGATTCTAAAATGGCTTGGAAGTACTATTTTCTGAGTCAAAATCTGGTCTTCCTTTGCTCCTGGCAAATTTGTTGTTGCCTATTTGTTTTACCTGGTGTAAAGTGGTAGGCACTTTTCTATCTGTTTCTGTAAATGTCTTTGTTTGGAAACGTTGGTTGTTCTGAACCTAATGGAACATGTTGCCTCTTTGTAAATTGTTTTTCATTTATATTTAAGGCACCCAGAGGCTGTTAGGCATGAGTTGCCTGAAAATTAAAGATTAATAGTTTTGTCTTAACAGTTCAGTACTGGTGTACTTTGATGTGGAAAGGCTGGTATGGCTTGTTAAAAAAGTAGATATTTTTTTAAGATTTCTGAGAGGAAGGAATCTTTCTTGCATTAAAACATGAACAGAGAAGTAAATCTTTGCTTCTACATTCCCGGTTTCTGAAATCTAATAGTACTGATTTTGTTACCAGCAAAGCTTTTGAAACAACCAGAATTTAAACAACTCTTATCTTCAGGGTAGGGTGACAGGGGAAGATTTAAGCACTTCCTTCAAGCCCTACTTTATATATCTGATGGGATTCCAGCATTCACTCCTTTTTCCCTCAAGTCCTTATTCTAACGTGGCATTACAACTTCACATAGAATACATTCGGTAGAATCCCCAAACAACTGTGGTCTTAACTTAAAAATATTGATGATGAAAGTTACTTTTCCAACATGTTTGTTGGATTAGAAAGTAACTAAAAGCTTTTAAAAGATGTTTAAGAACCCAACTAGGGTACTAATGACATGTAGGCGTTTTGGGACCGATTACATCAGGATGTTTTTGGTAGCAGTCTTGCTGAACTTTATCTTGTAAATCAGAGTGTTTATATTATCCTCATCTCGTCTCAATTTTTTAAAAAAAGCCTTTATCTTGATAACTTTCTCTCCAAATCTCTTAACAATCAAATGAGTTTATGGCTTTTCTGGGAGAGGGAGGAAAGGGGAAAACGAAATAATTTGAAACAGTTTGGTCATCCTGTACAGCTGGACGCTAACACTTAAACAGCAATTTATCTCGCTATCAGCATGCGAATGTGGATGTAAATGCTCCCATTATGATTTAGAGGAGTTAGAAAGACTAGGAGAGAGACTTTTTCTGGCCAATAAAATCCCAGTAAATGATAGCATCTATTAGATTCTCTCTCTTTCCCCCCCCCTCCACCCCGAAGATACCTTCATGGGCCTGGAACTCAGGAGGAGCCCCCGTCCCCAAGAAGTGACCATCTGCATTTGTAAATCTATCATGCTGGCTTTGAGGGGGATAAAAAAAGTAAATTGGTTCCAGAGACCACCTCAGCTTATTTAAAAGAAAGTAAGTGGTGGGGAGGGGGGAGGAGTGGCACTAGAAATAATTTTTAACTGATTGCATTAGCTTGAGAAGCCATAGGTGGATGTACCTGACATGGGACCGATGTGAGAAGCCATTTCCTTAGTGAAGAGTGTTTGCCATTCTAATTTGTGCTAGGAAGCAAAGAGAAGATGCCCTCCTTCATTATATGATGAGTCTTCTTTTTATGAGTTAGCTGATACCTTTGAGTTGCATTTCTGGTACTTTTCCATATCTGGGTAATGTAAAATGTACACTTTGAGTAGTAGACAAACCTGACTAATTAAATTGTTTTTAGTGTTAAATTGTTAATGCCTGCAAGGCTGGGAGGAATCTTATAATTATTTTGCGTGTTTGGAGTATATTTCTTTAATGCCCCACCCAAAACAAAGCATATGCCAATGAATTTTCAGAGTGCCTAGCTGTCACAGGAAAACTGGTTGCCCTTATACTCTAAGTTGTTGCAGTACTTCCCATAGTATGGATTTCAGAAGGTAAAGTTTGTAGGAACACTTGCTTATGTAGAACCTATTTCTCTGATATATTCATATTTCTGTTTCTCTTTACTTTTCTGCCAGCAGGCCTCTGGTGTCAGCAGAATTTCTCTTTTGAATAGCCAGAATAGAGTGTAGGACTTGGGTGAGAACAAAGGCACAGCTCCATTGCCAGGCGTGTACTGGGGTTTACCAGGGTGAATAGGGAGTAATGTTCAAAATCATTCTTTCTTTCTTTCCCTCTACAAATTAACCTGCTGAAGTAGCGCCAACTAGATAGGAATTAAAGATTGGCTGGTTATTCAGTGGTGGTGAAAGGCTGAAATGAATATGGAATGTCTGCATGATGATAGAGTTTCCACACAGAAAATGTTAAGTTTTTGGTTTTCTGTCTTCTAGTTATGGATAGGTTGAACTTTTCGGGTACTTGTTCTCACAGCATTTCTCCTCTGTTTTGCAAGGATACTAGATAGAGCAGATCCATATCTGTGTAAGTTTTCTGTATAGAAG